TGGTGGTGGTGTGTGTGTGTGTGTGTGTGTGTGTGTGTGTGTGTGTGTGTAGAAATAAAACATAGTTCCTGTCATGGAAAGGGTTAAAATCCACCAAGGAACCAGCTTCTCCCAAATCAGACATCCTTTGTTAAGCAGCCTTTTGCATCTCCCACCCAATCATTTGTTTTAAATAAATGATTTCTCCTCCTTCATTTGCAAATGTCTATTAGTTCAAGATCAGAAATGACATCAGAACTCAGATTATGATTGTTAAGGTGAAGTTTTCCATTTAGGATTATTTCAGAATTGTCATCTGAATCGAGGGGCCCAGGTTTTGCTGAGAATAGGATTCTGTCTTTTTTTTTTTTTTTTTTTAAAGTCTATCTTTTGTTGAGGTGCCAAATATATAGGGACAAATACTTACCATATTTTTTGGAGTATAAGACACACCTTTTTCCTCCCTAAAAGAGCATTGAAATGTTGGTGCATCTTTTACACGGGCCTTTTTTCACAAAATCGGAGGCATTTTTACCTTCCCTCTGCCCCCAGCAGCCCTCTGCAGGCTTTGGAAGGGCTGGGGTAAGGCAAAAACGCCTCCGTTTTTGGGGAAAACGGCCCATTTCCTATCCATTTTTGACAAAAATGGGGGCGTTTTTGCCTTACCCCAGCCCTGCTGAAGCTTGCAGAGAGATGCTAGGGGCTGAGGGAAGGCAAAAACTTTTTTTCCTTACTTCCCTCTTTGAAATCTTGGTGCATCTTATACACCGGTGCGTCTTATAGTCTGAAAAATATGGGTAGTTAAATCTTATATAGAGTACTATAACTTGGCCTTTGCCTTTGAAAAATGCTGAGAATATTGCAAGTAAGCAAACAACTGGAGTCGATTAGAAAAGCATGACTCCCTCATTATAATAACCTCCTGAGCTACCCTTCGGTTTCAGAGCATAACTTAAAGTGCTAGTTAGAAGTATCAAAGTTTCTTGGGACCAGAATATTTGAAAAACTCTTCTCCCCAGGGGTTTAAGAAGGCTTGGAGTGGTTGACAGATAGTTGTAATCTCAAATTTGGTTGGATTTTGACTGTTATGCAAAACTGGCAAAAACAGATGAGCCAATTTCTCCTATTTTCTTTTCTTTCTCTAGATTTACTATTCAGAAGTACATGTTATTCTTGTTCTATTTTCTTTATTTAATTATGAACCCCCTGAATCTGAGAAATTTTTTGAGGCTTGCATTAACCATATCAGTCTTCACTTGGGTAAGTTGACTATCAAAAGGATTGTCAGATTACATTTTTCTGGAAGTGATGTCAAGCTATAAACTGTTCTACTTCTGTCTCTTTCTTAAAAGGAAAGAAAGCAAATATATGTACTTCGTCTCTTTCATTATTTTCATTGAGAATATTCTAACTTCTGAATGTTTATTAAGCGTTCTTAAAGAGGAAATTTAAAGAACCAACCATGATGTGGGCACTGTCCCATTCTATAGCTTTTAAAAATAACTACAGTTCTAAGTAGGAATACATTAAAATGGTCACTGAAAATAGATTTTTAAAAAATAAAAATAATGGATTTTTAAGAGTATTTTATCTGGTTATTTTCTCTAAGGATGCTTACAAAGTTGCTTACACTTTTGCTTACATATTTTTAGAAAATATGTTGCAAAAGAGCCATACACATGAAGGCAACACTTTGTAAATTTGTGAAAGCAATCCCCTGGCAAGGACTGAGCAAATAAAGGAGTGATATGCATACTGGTATTAAGTATCATTGTTCTTACAATTAGTTACATGGAGAGAATGTGGGTATAGAATCTGTTCTTCTCTTCAACATAAGCCCAATGAATAAAAACAAAAAGGTCCTGCCCTATTGAGTGATATTTGCCATCATGCCCTTCCTCCCATGCTGATTATTCATTATTTGTTCACACAATATGACTGTAATGAGGATAGGATAGGATTTTGACAAATAAGTTTAAGTTGTTTGTGCCATGCTGGGGTCAATGTTCTAAGTAATGCACCCATTATGCGGAGGAGAGCCTTTTCAGTGGCAGCTCCGACCCTCTGGAACGATCTCCCCGTGGAGATTCGTACCCTCACCACCCTTCAGACCTTCCGCGCAGCCCTCAAGAGCTGGCTATCCCGCCAGGCCTGGGGGTAAAGACTTGATCTGCCCCCACCCGAATGTTGAATGAATGTTGTTTATTTTTTATTATGTGTTATGTTATATGTCTCGGTTTGTATCCCCTCCCTATAAGTTGTTAGCCGCCCTGAGTCCCCTCAGGGAAAAGGGCGGCCTATAAATAAACTTATATCCAATTATATCCAATATCCAAGTGTCCCTTTTCTATTCTCTTCCTTTCTCTTCCAAAGACTTTACACGTACCTTTTCTCCATCCATGTTTAAATATTTGTGGCATCTGTTTGGTTGGGAAATTCATATGTTATTTATATCCCAGTTCCGAAATGCATTGCTTTGCATCTGTTGTCCTTATTGATTCACCAGTGATGGTGAACCTTTTTTTGGCTCAGGTGCCAAAAACACACATTCACATGCTATTGC